ACTCTGCTAATGATTGAAAGGTGTGTGCGTACAGCTGGAAGTGGCAGCTTTTGCTGGATGTCAGCATGGACTGAGGCGGTAAGCTGCAATCACGCTTACGCCCGCCATCTTGAAACGGCAGTTTAAAACAGCCGCGGTTTTACAGATAAGACACGTGGCCAGAAAAACATAAAGATTTACAGTAAAGTCAGACTTGGATAAAGAAAAACCTCTAAAGGTTTACAGTGTGTTTAAAAATATATGTGAGATTGAGAGAGAAAATGAAACGACAAAGTGGATATAAATACAAAAGCCGGCGTTGTGGTGGCGCACGCTGGTAGGACTTACTCCAGAGGCAGAGGCAGGCAGATTTCCAAAGAGAAACCCTGTCTCAAAGAAAAATAAATAAAAGTGAAATAAATAAAGTAATAATAGATAAATAAATAAGCCACATAAAGATGGAAAATACACAGAGAGTCTGGATACTGTATGCTATTGTGTTTTTCAGTTTTTTGCTTGCTCAGGAAGGAACTGCTACTAAAGTACACTTGATTATAAATGCTGCTAAATTAATCCAACTTCTATCTTTTGAAAATGCCTTGACTTCAAAATTTAAGTATAAGGATATGTTACTTGGAAAAGGAGAATTTGCTTATGTTTCTACAGAAAATGAAAAGCTGAGAATTCCTTCCAGGCTTCTGTGGTTTCACGAACCAAGACCCCCGGAAGCAGTGGACCAGGTGTTCCAACGACTGAGACAGCTAAGATGATACAGCCTTACAGACCCCGAAAATACGGACTTACACAGGTTTCTGAGTTTTGTCATGATCCCCATGGTGTGAACAGCACCCCCTTCCAGCAGGAAGCAGTTTGGAATGAACGATGTCCCAATTGCCATCTTGTTTATAAATCTTTGTTTTCACTTAAATGGGATTGTTTATAATTGGCTAGTGATCACAGCCAATCTTTTTTAATGGTAAAAAAGGGAATTATGGTATGGGTATTGTTTTTCATTTATTGACACAAATTCAAGGTCAATTTTGTGATATGTATATTTCTCCTCTTGATTAAGTATTGTGCTTATACTGATCTTTTAAAATGTAATGCATAATTGAATACAGACTATAGATAGTTACTTATAATAGTCAGAATTTATAGTTAGGTAAGTTCGGTTTTATAGATAGATAGAAATGTATTTCAGACAGATAAACAGTCTTCAAACCTCTCAAAGACCTTCAGAAAATGGCGTTTAAAATGGTTTAGGGTTTTTCTTGACAATGAGAAATGTCCGCTCCTGGCAGCACCAATTATGTCTGAGAGGAAGATGGGCATCGAAGAAACTTGTTATGGAGTTTACTTTCAACATGACAAGATTAGCCATTTGGGCAAGAAACTGCTCTTGCCTGTACTGCTTGACTGTTGTTGTATAAACTGGACATGCAGGACCCACAGAAAAGTGACTGCCGAACTCAGTCTTACAGGGTTCCTGCTTCATGGAAGAGTCTACCAGACTTTCTGCAGGACACAGAAAAATGACTGACAGACTGCCAATGCAGATGGACAGTTTGAAATTTCCTGCTTTGCTGAGAAGTGTTCCAGAAACATTGTGGCCTATGGGCTGAAGATGGATGCCCCAACGTTACAGAGGAACTTCGGGTGACTGTCCAGGCAGTAAGACGTCTCTGTCAATCCTAGTGTTTATATATTATCCTTCTGTGGTCTTTGATGGAGTTGAAGATAGATATTTATAATTATAGTTTTCCTTAGTTATGATAAAAGATAAGCTACATATAGGACTTTGGAATCACAAGGATGGGATGGATCATATTTTCTTTAAATCTTGCTAAAATATTGTAACTATGTTCTTACTTGATAACTGTTCTGTCATATACAATTTGACTATGTTAAAATTAAGACCTTTCTTTTGTTTAAACAGAAAAGAGGAGATGTTGGGGGAAGTCCTGTTATTTGCCTGTGCATTTGTCAATAAAGTACTGTCTGGCCAATAGAAAACCTAGATAGGAGGGACTAGGAGTCAAGGAGGATTCTGGGAAGGGGAAACACAAGAGAGTCAACATGTGACGCCATGGGGGTAGGACGCCGGGAACTATTCTCCGGTAAGAAACATACTTAGATTAACAATTATGGGGTAATTACTTAAGGCAGAGCCCAGGCGACTGGCGGGGGGATAAACCAAAGTGGCTAGCAAAAGAAAAAGCTTCTCTTAACACACATATAATGTAATTATGCAGATGGATGAATCTCGAAAGGTATATTGAGTATAGGAAAAAATATATGTTGAAAATGTGCTGTGTGATTCCATCATAAAGTTATAAAAGGCACATTATTTTTTCCATATTTTTTATTTAACTTTTTACGCATGTCACTTTCAGTTCCCTCTCCCTCCCCTCCTCCCCCACCCCCAATCCTCCTAACCCTTCACCCCCACTCCATCCCCCCTCTACTCCCCAGGGAGGGCAAGGGCCTCCATGAGGGATTTCCAGAATCCATCACATCATCCCGGGAATGGCCCAGGTTCTTCCCCATGTGTCCAGGCTGAGAGAGCATCCCTCTACGTGGCATGGGCTTCCAGAGTCCCTCTGTATGCCAGGAATAAATACTGCTCCACTCTCCAAGGTCCCACAGATTGCCAAGGCCTCCTATCTGTCACCCGTGTTTGGTGAGAGGATGTCTGGATCAGTTCCATGCTGGCCCCCCCAATCATCAGTCTGGGGTCCGTGTGATACCCCTTGTTCAGGTCAGCTGCCCCTGTGGGCCTCGCCAGCCCGATCCCAACTCCCTTGGTCATCACTCCTCTTTGCAAGTGGGTTCCAGGAGTTCAATTCGGTTCACAGCTGTGGGTTTCTGAAATGGGGCACTTTAAAGCTATAGTTATAGAAGTCAAAATAATAATCAGTTCTGTCAAGGGAAGGGGACTGATGGGAGTCCAAAGGAACTTTCCGAGATAACAGCAACATCTCAGAGTTAGATATGGTTAACCTTTTGCAGATATGATTGACATTAAAGTTTGCATTTCTTTTTTATTGTTTTAATTTTAAATAGCTTGTTTTACATGTCAATCCCAGTTCCCTCTCCCTCCCCTCCTCCCGCACCCCCCACCATCCCCCCCAGCCTCCCACCCTATTGCCATTTCCTTTCACATAAGGGATATCTAGAGTCTGTCATTTCACTCAGCATACAAACAGACATTGTGTGTCCATAACACAAAGAGGGATGCTCTCTCAGCCTGGACGCTTAGGGAAGTGCCTGGACCCTGCCCAGAGTGAAATAAAGTTTGCATTTCACTGTAAGGTATATATCAATTAAAATGTTTCAAAAAATGATCCATCTTTGGGGAAAGATGATGACACAGAGATGAAAATGACAACATTCTGGTCTTCAAGGACATTCTAATGATATGAGAGACAACATTACAAGATAAAAAGGTAAGGGGAAGAAAAAGATGGGGTTACTGAATACAATTGGGAGGTTTTACATAGCTCCTATTTTAGTCCTGGTGACTAAAAAGCCTTTGGGGAAAAAAGCAATAGATACAGCAGCTTTATTCATAATAGCAAGAACCTGGAAACAACCTAGATCCCCCTCAACTGAAGAATGGATAAAGAAAATGTGGTACATTTATACAATGGAGTATTACTCAGCTGTTAAAAACAATGGCATCATGAAACTTGCAGGCAAATGGATAGAACTAGAAAAGATCATCCTGAGTGAGGTAAACCAGACCCAGGAAGATAAACACGGTATGTACTCACTCATAAGTGAATAATGGCTGTAAAGTAAAGGTTAACCATGATACAATCTACAAACCCAGAGAAGCTAAGTAACAAGTGGATTGGGGAGGGACTGAAATGGGGACTGGGGATGGAAACAGGAGGAATCAGGTGGGGTAGGATAGAGGGAGAGAGTACTGGGAAAGCAACTGGAATCTCGGGGGCATCTCTAGGATGATCTAGAAACCTAGAGCAATGGAAACTCCTAGGAATCTATGAGAGTGACCCTAGGTAAAACCGTAAGAATAAAGGACACAGAGTTTGAACTAGCCATCTCCTGTACAAGGCAAAACTTTCAGTGGAGGGACTGTGACACCAACCCACCCACAAACCCTTTGACCTACAATTTGCCATGCCCACAAGATGTGCTGGGGTAAAGATGGCACAGAAATTCTGGGTGTGACCAACTAATTACTGGCACAGCTAGAGACCCATACCCTGAGAGGGAGCTCCCCCTTAAGGGCCAGAACCCAGAAGTGAGATACCACAGAGACCTAGGGTAGAACAAAACACAAAATAGCAAAATAAAAAGTCAATAAAATTATTCTTAATGGTATTTTCCTATACTCATAGACCATTATCAGAGATGCTTCACCTAGAAACTGATAGAAACAGATGCAAAGACACACAAACAAACATTGGGTGGAGCTTGGGAAATCCTGGAGAAGACAAGGAGAAAGGATTTTAGGAACCAGAGGTGTCAAGGACACCACAATAAAACCCACAGAACCGACTAACATGGGCTCATAGTGGCTCACAGACACTAGAGAGCCTGTATGGGTCAGAACTGGGCCCTCTGCATATATATTACATTGGAAATCACATGATGGAGGGTGGGGACAGATAGATTCCAGGGACTTACTCACCAGTCTAGAGAAAACAAAGAATTCCAGATTCAATGAGAGACTTGGTCTCAAAATATAAGGTAAAGAGCAACAAAGGAAGATATCTAATACCAACCTCTGACCTCTGTACAAGCACACAATGGCAAGTGCACACTTATATAACAAACACACACACATGCTTGATCAATCAGTCAATCAACTAGAGAGACCTTAGTTCATATTGGATGATGAAATGAAAACCTAGTATGAATTTCACCAGAGAGTGATCACCAGTGTTGCACACTCCAACAATACCACTTTGGTGTAGGCCATTTAATAGATTGTACTCTAAGGGCTTCCGGCTTTCAGATTCTCCATAGCACTAAGGTCAAGAAGTTTCACTAACCTCTTGTGTAAGGTTCAATTTGCATGTAGCCAGAAGACCAGGAAAGTGACTTCCTCACTGCCATGTCTCCATATCCAAATGCCTCATCAAAAATTCCTGTGGGTTAAAGTAGACATATACATCTGAAGACTCAACACACCACATCTTACCACAGCCCACTTTAACACACAACTTCTGAAAATGTGTTCCTTCTTCCTTAGGAAGAATATTCCTCAAATTACACCTTCCTATTCTCCCAAGAGCTTTCTTGTGTGTTTTTTTTCTACACCCTTAAAGATATATTCAGATATAAAGATACATTGAATCTCTTCCCAGAGATTGAAAGCAGAACACAAAACAGAGCCTAAAGAGTGAAGTTTGCTCTACCAAGAACACATAGAAACAAGGCTAAGGTAATCAGAGAGTGCGCCAAAAGGTCTAAAATGCTCAGATTCCTAAGTATCTAGATGACTCCCCTGCAGCCATTGTCTGTTGATCACTAAAGTACTATGGCAGCACCCTCAGCACCTGCTGTGAAGGTTCAGAGTCATTGAGTACCCAGTCAAGCCATCCCTCTACCAGTCTTACAGGTCATCCTGCCTTGATTCATACATAGCAACCAGCAAACCTCACCAACACAAACACTTCAGCCCAACGGCAGATCTAAGCATGAGGCAAAGTTGTATTTAGAAATGAGGGGGATGGGGAAGCAAACCTGAGAATGTGGCCACCTGTAGGTTCCTATCTGGTCTGAGGTCACCAAAACACCCTCCTCTATATTTGCAAACAAGTCAGAGGCTGATGAAGGAGGTTGGCCAATAAATATTTTTAAGCCAGTATTAATGGCTGACTTGTGGTCTAGGAAAAAAACAAGGAACCTTCACACCTCAGCAAAAAGAAGCAAACCTGAGGAAGAGGTGAGGCTCCTAATTTATGGAGCTGTAATGAGACTAACTGCAGCCTCATGGCAAAGATAATGAGACCACTGTTTGGGAAAAGAAAAGAGAAAGACAGGGACACAACAAAGCATCCAGAGCAATGGTGCGATGAAGAGCATGGGTGCATCAGGAACAGACAGCAGAGGCAGAGCAGGGTGACTGAGCCTGGATCCCAAGAAAATCTGTTTGAAAACAACCATAAACCATAAAGAGACTTGTATTCCTCCATTTCAGATAATAACTAAACAGTAAGTGTGTGCCTCTTAATTCAGAGGGACAGTCCCTGTGTGACTGCCCACACCATCAGGCCAGTATTTCTGTCCTAGCTCAACATCTAGACAAAGCAACTTGCTCAGTGTCCCAGAACATTGGTGCGTTGAGTAGAAACTGTTACCCAGGACACAGCTTTCCCTCTGAAGGTCCAGACTGGTCATAACTGGTCACAGCGACTTCAAGAGTCAGAATAATGCTGTGTGCCAAACCTGGGCTGGAAGGACAAAAGCACAAAGAAGGGAAGACCTTTCCACCAATGTGTTCCCAAGAGAAGTATAGGCCGTTGGTGCTAGGGTGACCTCTTCAGACCACAGGCATTGTGTTCACTAGTTCTCAGGAGGTCACAGAGCCCCAAGTGGATCAGGGGGGTCTGGGGCAGAGACCTGCCTGACTTGTCTGGGCACAATCTTCTCTCTCCAGAAGAGCTGGGCACCATTTGAATTGAAAAATATGCCTTTATTGGAAATAGGTGTCTACCTAAAAGACAGTGATATTCTTCCTTTATATCATTTAAGAGAAAAAAATATAGACAAAGGAATAGGCAGAGAGTGGACTCAGCAATGAGGGAAAGAGAGGCAGGATGAAAGAGAAAGAAAGGGGAAAGGTAACCAGGAGGAGGGAAGATAGGGAAAAATGAAAGAGACAGAGAATGAAAGCTGGGGAGCAGGCAGCTGGTGTGAGAAGTAAGGGTCTATTCTCCTATTCCCCTGTCTTATAATAAATCACTGTAGCAGCCTGTGACAGCTCTTTGTTATCCCTAAATGCTCAAGCAAACAGCTTTTCTTTGAAAACATTCAAGTGGCTGCCAGGGAGGCTGGAGCTGAGCAAGCCCAGCAGCCCTCAGATTGCCCCCCACCCCTGTAATTCAGGTAGAAAAGCGAGCATGAAGTCAATATTCATTGCGCAGGCAAGAATCAGAGCAACACAATGACATGGTAATGAGTCGGCTCACAAAGAGTAAGCTGGATAATCAACATTTAAGGAGATGCCCCGTCTATGGTGGCTGCCAGGGACTGTGAGGGTAGCCCAGACACAGCCCCCACCTGAGGAGTGACCCCCAGCTCCTGCCATCTGCATGTCCTGACAGAAGGCTGGCTGTAAACCAAGGGATCTTGCTGGGCCTTTTCCCTCTGGCCACTCCCATCTATATTATCGTGGGGGAGAAACTAAGGTGTGAGGACAGAAGCTAACTTGATAACCTTCACCTCTTTACTGGCTTTTCGAGGAACTGGATAAAGACTGACAGGTGGGAAAATTGAGAATGCTGCATCTGGAACTGACACATGTGTGCTAACACATTTTGGGGGGTCATAAATTGGCAAGGTCAGGACCCCTGAGTAGGAAGTCTTGAAGAAAATCATAAAAACTGATGTCCTCAGTGGTGGCATGTGGGAATGAATAGCTGTGCCTGATGATTCAAATGTATAAGATTTTACTTAATATAATACACCTTGCTCTCGATTTTTTTTAATTTTTAAAAATATTTCCTTAATTTTTTGAAATTATAATTATATAATTTCTTGTTGAAGGATATTCGATCACAGTGCGAATCCCCGAGTTTTCATTTGCATTAATTAAATAAAATTAACCTTGCATCAGGAGTCTGAGTTAGTGACTCAGAGCAGAGGTTGCGTAGCTAACCTTCTCTCCTTCTGCTCTGCACGGTGTTTGTTTGTTTGTTTGTTTGGCAGAGCAGAAGGATGCTGTCTTTGGGAGATGTCAGCAAGGAGAGAAGGCTAGCTACTTAACCTCTCTGAGTTAGCAGGTTTCAGCCCAGCCTTTGAATCTCGAGTCTTATTTATAAATAGAACAACAAAGATTTAGTTAAAGCGACCTTTAGCAGCAGCAGCAGAGCCAGTACCTGCTGGAACAGAACTCCCACAAGGCTGCAGCCTGCTGGTAACTGCAGAGTCCCAACTAATAGCTGAAATAGCAGAAGATTAAGGCATAGTCACCGCACCAAAGTTAAAACAGCAATTTCTCCCTTCCATTTCCTCCTCCATACCTACCCGTACATCCCTCCATGCTCTCCTTCAAATTCATGACCTTTTTTGTTTCATTAGTTGTTGTTATATAAATATGTATGGATAATATTCCTAAATATATAAATACACTCTTCTCAGTCTGTATAATGTTACATGTATTTATGTGCTCAGGGATGATCATCACAACTAATTCATGTGCTCTTCCCTAAGGAAGATTATGTCTTCTGCTCTCAGCATTCCTTGGTTGCCAGTAGTTTTGTGAGGCCTTGTGGGCTTTCCCCATTCTTGGTCAATTAATGTTTAGGCAGCCATGTTGTTGAGATTTTATGGATGAAGCTTCTGATATTACAAGGAGATATTTCACAGCAAACTCCCTGGTCCTCTGGCTCTTACAGTCTTTCTGCCCTGATTCCTGAGTCTTAGGTCCCAGAATTGTGTTGTAGATGTATCTGGTAGAATTTCACTCCACAACTCTGCATTTTGACTATATAATAGCTTCCCTTTGGTTCAACTAGGTTTTAAAATCTCTTCAATAAAGAGAAAATCCAAGAAATGCCAAATGTGGCATATATCATTTATGGTTTATTACAGCTTGCCTGAGGATTCAGAAAGCAAAGGCAGCCTCAAGCTATAGAGATCAGTCAGTGGTGATACACACCTTTAATCCTAGCAATCAGAAGCTAGGAGGTGGTGGTAGATATCTTTAATTCTAGGACTCAGGATTAAGCAGTAGATGGATCTCTGTGAGTTCAAGGCCGCCAAGATCTACACAAGATTGATTCAGTCCTAAAGAGAAACAGCTCACAGAAAGATGATCTCAGCATCTGGGATCACAAGCCTTTAATCCCAGCACTCGAGGGGAATTAAAGATAGGGGTAGGGTCTTCAGTAGTCAGTATCAGGCATTTATTCTCCAGTCACAGTGAGGATAGGAGGAATTCATTCTCCACACACATTAATGATAGGAAGGTATATATTCTCCAGCCACACTGAGGAGAAGCAACACTCTGAGGCTTGGTGAGAGCTGATGGAGTCAGGATCAGCCCTTTCAACCTGAGCTAGCGGAAAGAGCTAGTGGCCTGCTGCTTTGCTTTTCTGATCTTCAGCTTGAAGCCTAAACTCCAGTATTTGTCTCTCGATTTTTTACAATTTGTGCTACAGCCAAAGGAAGATGAAACCATTAGATCAGTGGTCACATGCAAACTGCATTTAAAATGCTTTTGCCATGGGCATGTCCTGGAGTGTTGGATTTCCCAGGATGTGAAAAGAATCTGTTCTTTGAACCTCCAATTGTTCAATTCCTGGTGTCTTGAGATTGATCCAAAGTTAGACAGTCTTTGACAGTTTATAAAGTCAATCTTTGGTTTTTAGTAGCAGCAACACCATTCATTGGTGGTGTGCGTACCTCTAATCATTGTCACTTCGCTGATCTACAGACTCACCCTCTGTAAGTGGAGTACAATTTAAATAGGAGTAAGAGGAGAATTCGAGAAGGAATGAGACATGTGCAAGACTTTGCCTCCAGTCACAGTTCTTGGCTTTCTAGGAAACATTCAAAGAGTGAATCTTCTTAGGACAACCCCAGGGAATCTGATCCTTGTGGTCTGGGGCATGGAAGAGCCAGGCAACTGTACTTTTTATAGGTCCCCAGTGTGGGAAACAGAGCCATTGCCAGAAGATAATAATTCTTGATGTCTACTTGAAGGATATTGTGTAACTGTTCTGAGCCCTTTTACACTGAGAGCAACAATCCTGCCATATGAGAGTGTGAATAAAGCATGGGAGATAGAGGGAGAAGAATGAGAGTTCCAGAGTAAGAACAGGACAGAAAGAGAAGCATACAAGCAAGGTATGGGTGTTGAGAAAGTGCTGAGAAAGCATAGACTATTGTGGAGGAACCCAGAAGGATGATTAAAACTGGACTGTGAGGAATCTTGAGTGCCCTCCCTACTCACCATAACCGTGAAGTATTATTTTGGACTTCAGTTTCCCTTTCAGAAATGTGAAGTGCTGCACCAGATCATTAGTACTATGGTGTGAACACTCATGTTCCCCCTCAAAAGAATTCAGATGTTGACATTCTAAGTTACCAATATGATGGTATTTGTTACCGAAGGAGGGCCTTTTGGGCATGATTGGGTCTGTAAGAGTAGAGCTGTCATGAATAGGATTAGTGTCTTCATAGAAGAAGACTAAGAAAGCTCACTCACCATTGGATTATGCAAGCTACAGAGAAAAAACAGCTGATATGGGGCTTGCCCTTGCTAATCACAGAATCTGCTGTTA